ATCAAATTTATAATCTTTACTTCGATTTAGTTACTGTTAAAATAAAGCAAAATAATAAAATAAAAATTAAGAAAATAAGAAACCTCAGTTGCTAAATTGTTAGTTAATTATAGTTCAAGTGATTTAGAAATTGTAATTAGAGATCAACTCATGTAACAAATAGATATTCATGCGTCGTTATAAATATATACAAATTTATATGTTTCAGTTTAATCGGTTATAAATCAAACCATATCCATATCCTACAGTTTTTATGAAATCACATTCATTCGGTTTGTATGATATATACCAAAAAAAACATATTATCGACTCTTTAATATCTTTTAATAATATAAAAATAAAAAAATAAGATATTTAAATCATTGATAACAAAAAATTTCAATGTGAAAAATTTAATAAGTTTATAATTTATAAATGTTGTTGAAAATTCATTGAAATTTTTGAAATTAAAATATTTATGTAATCTTATATGGTATATAGTTTAATCTATATATATATTTGTTTTATTATTGAATGATACTTTTTACTCATATGGTTTAAAAATCATGTGTATCTTTTCAAAATCATGTGTATCTATATATATATATATATATATATATATATATATATATTTGTTTTATTATTTGTTAAACTATTGATCATTAATTTTTAACATAATAATTTTAATAGTTTTAGTCATTTATTCTCGTGTATATGTATAATTAAAATAATAGTTTAAACTATACGAAATTTAAAATATCTTAGTTTTTAAAATTTAAAATATACGAAAAATATAAAGTTTAATTTTATAGCTAATTTGATTTTTTAATTTATTTTAATAATACAAAATTAAAGAAAAAGTGATGGAGGAGATATAAATTGTTATCAAATATTTATTATTAGAATCATTAATTGTCATATATATATTAGTCATTTATGGTAATTCCGTAGGTTTTATTTAAGGAAAGGAAATAAAAGAGTAATTATATTTAGGGGAACAATCATAAATGCTTCTATGGAAAATATCATATCATATCATCATATCATATAGTTTAACCAATGAATATATCTAGCGACATATAAAAATTGAATGTGGACCTACTTATTTTTCAATTGAATCTAATTGACTACCTAACTGAGTGACACCTAAGCATGGAGTCTTTTTTAATTATTACAAAATTGAGGTTACAATTTTTTAAATGTTTCTCTTTTAATATATAGGGGATATGACTTATTATTGGGTTCACCCCCTAGGGTGAACCTCTAAGTTCACCAACCAATAGGGTGGTGTTATTTCATATTTGATATCTTTTAAAACAGGAAACAAAATATTGTCAAGTTATATTATGTTTTTAAAATAGAAAAAAATAAATAAAAATATTAATATTTACAAAAAAGGAAAAAAAAAATCTTTAAAAAATATTTTGACATTATATTATGTTTTAAAATAAAAGATAAAAACAATTTAAAACAAAAAATATTTTAATATATATTTAAAATAAAAACATGTATTTAAAATAAAAAAAGTTAAAAATAAATAAAAAATAGTATAATTGGTTAGTATTTCCAAAGGGTTTATGATTTACCCAAGAGTTTAGGGTTTATGATTAGGGTTTAGGGTTTAGTATTAGGGTCTAGGGTTTAGGATTAGAGTTTAGGGTTTAGTGTTAGGGTTTAGTGTTACATATTTTTTTAAAAAGTTTTTTTTGGGTTTTTTAATATTATTATTTATTATTTATTTTTTATATTTTATTTAAAAAACATAATATAACTTAACAAGATTTTATTTCCTTTTAAAAAAAATATCAAATATAAAATAACACAATACTATTGGTTGGTGAAGGTTCACCCTAGGGAGTGAACCTAAGAATAACTCTATATATATGATCTAACTAATATTTTGAATTTCCATTTAAATACCATCAACTGTTTACTTTTTTTTAACATGTGATTAATTAATTAAAGAAGTAAAGACCAACCATCTAAAAAAGTCTTCACCAGCAATGTTGCCCACATCGGTTAAAGCTTTGCTCCATTTCTGCCTTTCCTCATCGGTCTTACGTGCACAAGTTTCATGGAAAGCGATCCTGAACTCACCGGTCTGTTTCCGTATATCTGATGGATCCACTCCGTAGAAGATGGTCATCACTATCTGTCCCATAGTTTTCTTGCAGTCTAATATCTCCACCAACTCATCCAAACACCAGCTTGATGATGCATATTTCTTGGAGAGAATAACGATAGATATCCTTGACCCTCTTATAGCTTCTATGAGTGAAGGAGTGATTACTGCGCTTTTTTCAATCTCTTGATCATCAAACATAGTGATCCCGTTGCGTTTAAACTGTTCGCGCATGTGACTAAGAAGTGTTTTACGAACGTCAGGCCCGTGGAAGCTCGAAAAGACGTTGAATTTGTAGTTTCGAGAGGTCAAAAGAGACGACATGGCCATGATTTGAGAAAGTTGGGAAATGGTTATGGGAGAGGGTGAAGATAACTAAAATTAGATATTCCGAAAGTAATGTTGTTTTTGGAAAACAAACACGTTATGACGTAAAATAAATTAATAAATTATACAAATAAAATATATTAGAGCAAAGACTAGTTTTTCGTGGACAGAGGGAAAGAGACTTTGAAAACCATCTTTTATGACTTTCTTTTTTTTTTTTTTGTTCAAATTATGACTTTCAACAAACCAAACTTAAAAGGGCTTATTTGCCAAATAACCAAAAAAAAAAGAAAATTTAGTTTTCTAGTGAGAGAGTAGAGAGAGACAGGGAGAGAAATGAAGAGAGAAGGGGAGATTTTAGTTAGTTACTTAATTTAATTTTTTTTCATGGCTATTTCACCTAATATCCCAACTTAAAAGAGTACTAATCAATTTTCATACGAAACAAATAAACAAATGAAAAGTCAAGAAGTCAATACTTTACTTTAACTTGCCACATATGACATAAGAGCATCCACATCAGAAACAAATTTCGATTCCAATGTGCTTTTTTGATTTTTTTGATTTTTTTTTTGTTTGATTTTTTTTATTTTTTAAAAAAAAATTAATAGCCGAACTAATTGCGAAATACCACGTGGCGTGGGACCCGCGAAACAGTATTGATACGATTTCATAGTGGGGAACTTTTGTGATACAAATTCATAATAAATGACTTTATATTATTTTTCTTTTGGAGAATTGTGTAAACTCCCCTATTAATACTTTAATGGGGGTACTCTAAGTATTTTCACTGAATCTTCTAGGCCTGGGCATTTTACCCGGACCCGAAGACCCGATCCGGAACCGATCCGAAAATGTGCGGTTCGGGTAGGAACCGAACTGATCATTTTATCCTATTGGATCTTGATGTGGAGGACCCGCGGGTCTTGGACCCGAACCGACCCGAATCCGAGACCCGATGGGGTACCCGAAATATCCAAAACATCTAGTATATATTATGTATATATATATATGTTTTAGTATTTTTATGGTATTATGAGTATTATTTTATGTTTTGGATTTAGGTTTTCGGATATAATTACGGGTTTTAAGTAAAATTTTAGGTTTTTTAAAAATATAATTCGAATAATCAGATAAAATTTTAGATATTTTTATGTATTCGGGTTAGGTTTTGTATAAAATTTTGGGTATTTCTTGGGTATTTAAAATATTTTCCAATATTTTTTGTGTGTTTTAGGTATGTTTTTGGGCCATACCCGGTAGGACCCGAACCGAATCCGACCCGAAACCGAACCGAATCCGAACCAATAAATTTTAATTACCCCATTGGGTCTAACTATATAAGACCCGAACCGACCTGGACCCGGTAGGACCCGAACCGAACCCGAACCAACAAAGTCTAATTACCCTATTGGATCTAAATATCTAAGACCCGAAGGACCCGGACCCGACATAACCCGACCCGAACCCGATCCGAACCGGAAAATGCCCAGGCCTAGAATCTTCACAAGAATCACTACTGCGGAAGCCTAAAATTAAACCTCCAAAGTTGATGGTCAGACAAAAGACCAAACACAAACACTCAAACTCACATATATATATACACCCATCATAACTTAATCTCATCATTTACTCTTCAAAAGATAGCGGTTTCAGACCTCGTATTAGCTTTATAAGGGTAAGAGCTGCAAAATACTCTTGGGGCTAAGAGTACTTGCCTTCTTGGCTACGTTATCACTTATCTGCAACCTAATAAATGCTGCTCCACCTCCCCTAGTCCCCTGAAAACATCACCACCTCAAAATTACACACTCGTGTCACGTTCCCCCGTTGCGTCTAGCCGTCTATATGCACACGTATCTTGTGTCCTATGTTACTTCTTTGCCTTTGGTTTTATTTTATTTTTATCATACTTCTTATTACTTGTTTGCTTTCTTGAGAGTGTAATCTCGAGTAATCATCAGTTTGTGTAAGCATTAAACCATCGTCTGTTACTTTGCTAACGAAACCAGCAGCTTGATTCTTGCCTACCAGTCTAAATATCCAAACCCATAAATCATCTCTCATGGTCATGCTCAAATCATGAAGCTTTTTAGTTCGAAAACTGGTTTAGGTGAGAAGTAGAATCCCAACGTTAAAAGCACCAAACACTTTTCTCATCCAATACATCCCTTCTCCAATCTCATAATCACTGCTTATAAATGAACCTCCAAAAAATCCACATATAAACACTTAGAAATCACAAAGCAAGAGCTCTAAAAACACAAAGCAACAATAGCCCTGTTCGGCTAGCAAACGCTGATACGAGCATCTACAATCAAAATTAAAGCGTGGAATTGAAGAAACATTGGCTGGATTTAGTCGCAGCATCAATTTAAAGTTTCAGATGTAACAGACTTGCAGACGTCAGTGGGACGCCCAGATTAATAGCGTCAGCGTTTAAGAAATATGGACTCAACTTTTTGAACGCCAGCGTTTCTATTCTCTCTCAGTTGTCTTCCGCTTTACCACCGCCTGTGTTTATTTACGATCTTTTGTCGCTGACGCTGCGTCTTCCTCCCGAACAGGGCTAATGTCGACAAACTCAAAGGCTTCTTCTCTCTGCTTACTCCTCCTCCTCCTCCTTGTATTATCCCTCAGTTCTCAACCAGTACTCTCCTTTCGTGCCCCAAAACCGCAATCACAACCAACGTCACCTCAAACCATAATCGATGATTCGTCTTCAATGGGCAAGATCGACCATGCAAAATCCATGATTGCTGGATTCTTCAGCCACATGTTTCCATTAAAGGGATGGCCTTTCCCAAAGTACCCACCTTACACAATGGCTAACCCTAATATTCAAACTAACCCATCAGGAGCTCAAGATGAATCAGAGAAGTTACCTTCTTCCCCAAGCAAAAACAACAAAGATAGAATAAACGCGTGAAGACTGCAGTTTACTTGTGTGTGTTTTAATTATTCTATGGTTATACATTTAAGAAAAATAAAAGGTAAAACCGTAAAATGTATCTTTAACAATTGAACAGTAAGTGAAAGAACAGATTATCTATATATCAGCTCGGCGTTCCAAAACAATGTCCCACAATTTCACCAGTAAGTACATAACCAGTCACAATATATATTTTCTATATAATATATAGAATCCCTCAAGACATTATGCAAATTCATGAAATGAAACTTTAAGAAGAAAAACGCAAGAAAATTTTACAGGTGGTGTTATTTCCTCTGTTTTTAGTAAGAAGCATATCCATGAGGATGAATCTTTTGCCACCTCCAAGCAACTTGAAGACTATCCTGAAGATTAGTGTATTGAGCAGTCCAATTCAAGTCTCTCAAAATCTTTGTAGGATCACTATAAACCTCTGCGTAATCTCCTGGTCGCCGGGGCAGGAAGTCTACTTTGATCTCAACTCCTGTCGCCTTCTTACACGCCTCCACAAATTCCTTAACCGATCTTCCTATTTAACCAATCAATCAAAATTATAGTAGTTAGACCAACCCTCTTCTTGATCACTGCATAAAATTTGGAGGCACTTTAAATTTTCCACTGAAAATGTTTTATTCAAGACCTTTTCCGGTTCCAACGTTGTAGATACCGACTTTACGAGGCTGAGCTTTTTGGAGAGCCTTCACGTGAGCATCCACGAGGTCAGTAACATCTATATAGTCTCTAATGCAAGTCCCGTCCGATGTTTTGTAGTCAGTTCCTTTCACCTATCACAAACCATATCATGTAAAGGTCTTTCCAAAGAAATAAAACATTTATACATGTAAAAAAAACTTACTTGTAGTCCAGGAATGAAACCACGAGCTGCATCAAAACAAGCACCGGAAATCCGTCCTTGCTCACGAAGCTCGGGTCTTGGAGCTTCTCCTAGTCTACCTCCTGGATCTGAACCGATCACATTGAAGTATCTGCAAGTTCATAACATTCATCAACATTTGCATTATTGTTTCATTAACAATAGGGAAAAAATTAAGGCTCATAAAAGTACTCTATGGACCTAACCTTAAGATCATAACCGCCATGTCAGAGTTCTTGGAGAAATCCAAGATTATATCCTCTGCCATCTTTTTAGCTTTTCCATAAGGATTAATCGGGAGCTAAATATAATATTTTCATTAAAAATTTGGAATTGTACGAAATTATTATTATTAATGCTGAATATTAAGGGTATTGCACCTGTGGAGTATCTTCAGTAATCGGCATTTTTTCAGGCTCTCCGTAAGTAGCACAAGTGCTAGAATATATTAATTTCTTCACTTTATGTCTGGCCATAGCTTCAAGAACTCCTAATGTGTTTGATGTAATGTTATGGTAATACCTACAACAATTAAACATTAAACAGTGAGGTGAAATCTATTTCTTGCAGCGATGTTATATATAAACAAATGAGGACTGTACTTTAGAGGATAAAGAGTGCTTTCTCCAACATATGCTACCGCAGCAAAATGCATCACAGCGTCAAAGGCGTTCTCTGAGAAGATTTTCTCCACCTGAAGTTATATATGCTAAGAATAAAAACCAAAACTTATATGCTTCAAAGGTTAACAAACATTCAAGGATTAAAAAAACATACAGCTGCAGGATCTCCTAAATCAGCGTAAATGAACTGAAGCCTTCCAGTTTGTGGGAACAATCCCTGTAAAACCTTAACCGCGCCAAGGTTTCCACGGGAAAGATTGTCCTGTTGATATACCAAAATCTCAAATGTCATCAAAAATTTATTGAAATTTTGAAACTAGTCTTCAAGAAAAAGAATTATAATTACCACAATGGTTACGCGGTATGAATCTTTAAGTAGCCTTAAGGCCGCATGTGAACCGATATAGCCAGCACCACCAGTGACTAATACATGAGTCACTCCTTCCTCTCTTTGGGAAAACTGAAAGGAAATGCAATAAACCACAGAAAAAAAACATTTAAGGAAATATAATATTTGTAAGGGTTTTTTTAGTGTTGAGTTGATGGAGATACCACGCTCGGGGATGTGAAGCTTGAAGATCGACTGATCACAATGATAGCTAAAATTACTAGAGAAACTAATAAGAGAAGCTTTGCCATGAGATTACTCTTTGTTTTGGGTTCTAAGTAATCCATATCTGCATTTAGAATAAAAAAAAGGAAACCAAAATCAAAAGTCTCTCTTTCTCAGAAACATGGAATGATGAAAAGCACAACTTTTGTTGAGTTAATAAAATTCTCTACCTCCCACAGACAAAGGTTTTCTTCGTTGACTTTTGACTCCAAAAAAACTTAGCATTGGAAGACTTCAAATTGCTCTGTTTCTCAAACAGAGACTTGAGACCACAACCCACACAAAAAAAACACTCCCAACAATCAATTGCTAGCACGTAGCAACTGGAGATTTCTGCAAACCAAAGGAACATTTTAAACATTTCATTAGAATTGATTATAATCAAAAATAACAGAACAGAGTAAAACCAAAAGGGGAAGAAAGTGTCCAAAAATCTAAGTAAGAATAACTCAACAAAATTGACTAAAAATATCGTGATCTGGTTCTAGTTCTTGTTACTATACAGTTTGATGAAACTAGGGAAAATTAGAAAGAAAAAAAAAGTCATAGACTGAAAAATCCTGTTGCAAAGATTGATGATGATAAGCCTTTCATCAAAAAAAAAAAAAGATTGATGATGATCTTAAATCATGATGATATATGTATCTAGTTTTATCAAAAGAACTCAGAGAGGGAAAGAGATCTGTTTACCTGATAGTTGTGAGAATACAAGAAACAGAGGAGGGCGTTGAAAGATGGTTAGAACTTAGAATGCGTAATGCGCGATGTTTATTAACACAGTGTGAGAGAAACTCGTGACGAATAAAAACATAAGAGAGATAGAGAGAGAGAGAATATGTGACGATATAAGAAGAGGAGGAAGAAGACGAAGAAATTCAAGAGAGGAAACGTGAACTGCAAAACGAGGGCACGACTACGACCTAGCCGCGACTCTCTTTCACTATCGCTTCGGTTACGTGTTTTTTTGTATATTAAAATATTTGGTTTAAAATAGGAAATCTATATTATAATGATACACTTTCAAGGCTACTTAAGGTGTCCACATAGGCAGATTGTGGGTCCCGCACATTTAAATTTTAAAAGCTTAGAATTTGTTTAAAATGAATATGAACAATGAATATACTTTAGCCCAGTGGTATAAGATATCTAATGAAGTCCACAAGTGTGTGGGTTCAAACCACGTAGCTGTTATGTATTTTAGTTTTTTTGTTTGAATTATTATCATATGGTTTTTTAGTTTTAATGTTTTAATGTTTTTTTTCCTCTGGACTTATTGTTTAAAACCAAAAATAGTGAGAAAAATCCTAAAGTTTGACGAATTCAAACCTCTCTCAATTTTTAATAGTTACTATAATTTCATTTTTATCAGACTCTGGCGAATGGATTTCCACACTCGATGACGCCGTAAATAAAAATGCCACATTATTCATGAACAAAATCCAAACTTACAGAAAAACATATCCAAACCTATCTACTGAATCCAAACAACAAATATTAGCTTAAACTAAAGTTATTTTCAATCTATATTATAATGATACACTTTCAAGGCTCCTAAAGCTGTCCACGTCAGCAAGTTTGTGGGTCCCGCACATTTAAATTTTAAAAGCTTAGAGTTTGTTTAAAATGAATATGAACAATGAATATACTTTAGCCCAGTGGTATAAGACATCTAATGAAGTCCACAAGTGTGTGGGTTCAAACCGCGTAGCTGTTATGTATTTTAGTTTTTTTTTGTTTAAATTATTATCATATGGTTTTTTAGTTTTAATGTTTTAATGTAGGCCTGGGCATTTTCCGGTTCGGATCGGGTTCGGGTCGGGTTATGTCAGGTCCGGGTCCTTCGGGTCTTAGATATTTAGACCCAATAGGGTAATTAGACTTTGTCGGTTCGGGTTCGGTTCGGGTCCTACCGGGTCCAGGTCGGTTCGGGTCTTATATAGTTAGACCCAATGGGGTAATTAAAATTTATTGGTTCGGATTCGGTTTGGTTCCGGTTCGGTTTCGGGTCGGATTCGGTTCGGGTCCTACCGGGTATGGCCCAAAAACATACCTAAAACACACAAAAAATACTGGAAAATATTTAAATACCCAAGAAATACCCAAAATTTTACACAAAACCTAACCCGAATACATAAAAATATCCAAAATTTTATCTGATTATTCGAATTATATTTTTAAAAGCCTAAAATTTTACTTAAAACCCGTAATTATATCCGAAAACCTAAATCCAAAACATAAAATAATACTCATAATACCATAAAAATACTAAAACATATATATATATACATAATATATACTAGATGTTTTGGATATTTCGGATACCCATCGGGTCTCGGATTCGGGTCGGTTCGAGTCCAAGACCCGCGGGTCCTCCACATCAAGACCCAATAGGGTAAAATGATCGGTTCGGTTCTTACCCGAATCGCACATTTTCGGGCCGATTCCGGGTCGGGTCTTCGGGTCCGGGTAAAATGCCCAGGCCTATTTTAATGTCTTTTTTCCTCTGGACTTATTGTTTAAAACGAAAAATAGTGAGAAAAATCCTAAATTTTGACGAATTCAAACCCAAAAACAATTAAAAATGATCAAAATACGAACAGTCCAAAAAACAAAAAACAAAATGAGTCCCACGTGGCACTATCATGTCTTAATATATATTTTCTGTTAAAACATATTTTCTAATATATATTTTCAAAAAATTATGTATGTGAAATAAAATAAAACAACAAAATTTAAGTATTTTTTATTTATAAAATAACTATGTAATTTCTCTCAATTTTTAATAGTTACTATAATTTCATTTTTATGAGACTCCGGCGAATGGATTTCCACACTCGATGACGCCGTAAATAAAAATGCCACATTATTCATGAACAACATCCAAACTTACAAAAAAAACATATCCAAACCTATCTACTGAATCCAAACAACAAATATTAGCTTAAACTAAAGTTATTTTCAAATTGATAAATCGTTTAGTACAAATATAAATACTATAAATAGATAATTATATCAAGTTTTGACTTCCGATATAAAAACTGTTTCCAACATAAAAACATAAAAAAACAATATAGACACTTATTATTATACACTAGAAACTATATTATAATTTAGCTATTCCTATAAATCTTACTTCGCATATAAATAACATTTAACACATTATATATATAATATTTTCACTTTACACTCTTGCTACATTATTTTCATTTCATCCCTAAAAATAAAACGAGTCTCACGCGGCACTATCATGTCCTAATATATATATTTATGTTAGAACATATTTTATAATATATATTTTCAAAACATTAAGTATGTGAAATAAAATAAGACAACAAAATTAATTATTTTTTGTTATCTATAAAATAACTATGTAGTTTCTCTTCAATTTTTAATAGTTACTATAATTTCATTTTTATCAGACTCCGGCGAATGGATTTCCACAGTCGATGACGCCGTAAATAAAAATGTCATATTATTCATAAACAAAATCCAAACTTACAAAAAAACATATCCAAACCTATCTATTGAAACCCAAACAACAAATATTAGCTTAAAATAAAGTTATTTTCAAATTGATAAATCGTTTAGTATAAATATAAATACTATAAATAAATAGTTATATCAAGTTTTGACCTCTGATATAAAAACTATTTCCAATATAAAAAATAAAAAACAAGATAGACACCTATTATTATACACTAGAAACTATATTATAATTTTGTTATTCCTATAAACCTTACTTCACATATAAATAACATTTAACACATTATATATATAATATTTTCACTTTATACTCTTGCTACATTCTTTCCATTTCATCATTATTTGGTATTATTAGAATAATCCACTAAACCAACAACCGAAAATAACACAGATAAACATCAATGATCCTCAGCCCCGCGCTTGCGCGGGGGGTATGCAACTAGTCATTTTTAATATTTATCTTATTTTAGATTTTTATTTTATTTATTTGGACTAATCTTCGATATCTATTTTCACATTTTTTTATATTTATCTCCTTTATAAGATAGATACTAGATTTTGACCCTTTAAGGACGGGACAACCATTTTTGCTTTAAATTTATATCCTTGTTTGATTATTCACAAGTATGTATAGACATGAGTATACGGGTTTAGATAGATCGTCGTTAATAATTTTGGTTTGGTCTAACATATATAGATTAAATATGATTACATACAATTTTATAAGATTGATTTTTCTTATTAGATAACAAATTTTAGAGATCCGATGAAATTATGAATTGTATTCGATAATCTAAAGTATTTATTTGTAATAGTTTATATTTTGAGTTTAAACTTATTTTTTATAAAAAATAAATAATTTTAGGGTACTATTATAAACAATTGGTTGATATTATTGTCATATAAAATAAATAGAGATACAACCGACTGTTTATTTTAAAATTATGGTCATAAAAATTGACATTGTATTATATAGACGGTATGTGTTTAAAAATATGATTAACAAAAAAATTATATAAGAAAATAACATAAAAATTCAAAATACAACTGCGAATGATTATTGCAAACCCGTAAATAAATCAATACATCATATTAACGACCCAAGCCCAACACAAATATACCGACAATATCTCTTTAATATATCTTGGACATGCGACAACCACATATCTTTTCAAGAGCGGATATATTTTCTTTATAAATTGATTTATACGAAACAAAGATTTGATAATTATAAAATTACATGTGTTGAANTATACCGACAATATCTCTTTAATATATCTTGGACATGCGACAACCACATATCTTTTCAAGAGCGGATATATTTTCTTTATAAATTGATTTATACGAAACAAAGATTTGATAATTATAAAATTACATGTGTTGAAATTTTGCAACTTAATACATTTATAATTGTGTTGAGCAGTGTTTTCATACCCGACACGGGTTTGAGTTTGAGCAACTAAACTTAGTGATATGTATATATTGCAGTTCGGATTTAACTAATTCACCGCTATTCGAAATTTTAATAAAAGTTTGGTAAGAATCCAAAATCCGTTAGTAACATGTCACCTAGCACTGATTGACCCGTGTAAAACTAAGATAAAATTGGTGATCTAAAAAAATTGATCAAAATTTTATATATTTTAAAATGAGTACATGAAATTAAATAGTATATTTGATTTGTGATTCTTTACTAAAAGAAATACTACGTTGTCTGATAAAAAAAAGAAGAGAAAGGCGATAGAGAACACCAAAAAAATGTACTCGTTTTTCAGTATTATTTAATTTTTATTATTGATAATTTATTACTGGTTCTATTTTTAATTTAGACTTAAATTTTTTTTTTTTATGATTGCTATTATTTACTTGGTAGAAACCGTGATATAGAATAAAAATGTTAGATATGGTTTTATGTATATTAAAAATAGGTTGACATATTCATTTCGAACTTTTACATAGTATTTGTTAGGTTAATTAAGAGGGAGGAAAATAGTGTTCATAAATAATAACTACATCTAATAAATTAAATATTAAATATATTTATTTCAATGGTACAATCCTAGTTTAAGACAGTCGAGTTTGGCACATATATATGTTTCCAATATATTAGTCTAGATTTTGACCCGTACTTTGATAGTGCATAATTGTTTTCTGTTAATAATACTATTAACCCGTTTGTTAGTTCATAATAGAAATGAAAAATCTATTTGTTCAAGCCGTTTGTAACTTGATAAATATTTTTTGACCTGTAGAAAATGAACACATTAAAAAAAGTTTAACTTATTCCAGTGCATATGACAAATGAATTTTTGCCCATAAACTATATAACAAATGAAAATTTTGACCCTTATATATATTAAACTTAAGTTATATTCATAGT